CCCCCCCCAACACACTGACATTACACAGGCTAAATCCAGCAGGGTTACAATGGAGAACCAGACACCACGCTGTGAGGAAGCATGTCCACAGATTGCTGTTATTTTGGGATTCACACTCCTGCAGTAACTCTGGATTCTGCTGCAGCTTTTTATCACGTTGTTAGATAACAATGGGCTCCTGTCAGGCTTTAGTGTTCCTTAGAAACCTCCTGAAGCCTCAGAGAGACCTGCAGGCGCCTCAGTGTGTCACACATATGAGATATTATAGGTTGTATTTAGTCAAATGGCACCCAGACACACAACTCAGATGATCCAACATTTTGGGCTTTTACTGTAACAGAGTATTCCTACACTCTGGTACTTCTACTTTTACTCAAGTACAAGATCTGAGTACTTCTACTTTTACAATATCTGAGTACTTCTTCCACCTCTGGGGATGAAGGAGTGTGTTTTATTTTGTGTCATACCTTTTACCTCCTTGTGTCTACACCTCCTTGTGTCTACTAACCTGTTAAAATGTTATATTTCGCTGCATGCACCTTTTAAAGTTCTTAACAAATAATCTGAGGGGAATTCCTTGTTGTTTGTTTTTAACTTGTGATGTGTCATGTTGTAAAGCACTTTGAGCTGCATGTGTTGTATGGAAAGTGCTATATAAATAAAGCTTTATTATAATTTATTATGTTCTTACCCACGGAGGCAGATCCGAGGTGTTGGTGCTCTGCTTGGAGCCCCTCTCCTCCTCCTGCTCGAACAGATCCAGAGCTCTTCTGATGCGGCTGTGTTTCCCTCCAGAGTTCCTCCTCCACATGAAGAACATCACAAGTCCGATCAACAGCCAGCTGAAGCTAAACTCGAAATATCCCAGTGCGTAGATGGGGAAAATAATCACAAAGGTTTTGGCGACGTGCATCCAGGTGTGTGTGAGCTCGTGTGTGGCAGACAGCAGGGGGTCCGAGGGTGGGATTATTGCATGTCCATTCTCCTTACTAGGGGCATGGACGCCTGTGTCCGTCATGCTGTCCTTAGACATGTCTCTGAGCTCCAAAGTGTTTTTAAAAATAAGGTTTTTTTTGTAACACCATGTGCTCTCACGTTGGCTCCCCAGCGCACGAGCCCATTGCCTTGCGGGGAATCGATGGCATTGAGCCCCTTTTAGTGACCAGAATACATTCCCTTAAAACGCACAGCTGATCCAGTCCGCGGCTCCTCTCTGCCTCCTCTCGGGTTAAATGCTGCTTTCACAAAAACACACAGGGACCACATCACACTGAGCGCTCCCAGCCTGATAGAGAGGGGAAACACGGACACCTGGTGGTCATTAGAGGTAAACACAGCCTGGTTTTATTTAATAACTTCTAAGCCACTTTTTTATTACGAAAATATTCAACATGTTGTATGAAAATAAATGCAATTAATGTAATATTCTGATATTACATACGACTGTTTAGCTATGCTTGTTTATGATTGGTCCATGTGATGTGATGCAGTGAAAGTAGTTAGCAGCCAGACATATTGTATGAAGTAAAACATGTTATTAAAAACATTAAGAACAAAAAGGCAAACAAAACTAATTGTGTATTTAACAAATACGAAATATGAAAGTGTATTTTTATATATTTACTTTATGTTATTTTGTATTACTTTATATGTCCAACCCAGATTTAAACTTGTTTTTATACACAATATATGATCTTGAATAAATAAAAGGACAAAAAACAACAAGAAAAACACATTGTATGCATTAATAAATACAGAATATAGTATGTCATCTGGAATATTAATTACAGTATAAGAAAAAGACAATTTACAGGCAGAAATGTTAGATAAATTAATAAAAAATTGGAATAATAAATATGGTTTCTAATTATATTATTATCACAAGACAAGCACAGCGGTGCCGAAAGCCCTGATAAAGAGGGAGAAACAGCGCCATCTGGAGGTCATTAGTGGTAAACACAGCCTGGTTTTATTATTTATTATTTTAAGTCGTTGAGGTAAGCTATTTAAGCTAAAAAAACAATGAAAAGTGTTAGCTTACCTGTGTGAAAAGTTCGTTTTCTGATATTCCTGCTGACAACAGCCCTCTTGCTCGGCTACATCTTTATAAATCCATGTGAAGTAGTTTGTCAAATAAGAAATGAAGCATTTAAATCGACTGTATTTTAAACAAACCGTTATCTTTTTTAGGAACTAATAAACTAGCTTGCTATTCAAATTCCAACGATTAAAATAGGAAAGGTTTGTGATCTTGAGCACAGAGAAATAGATAAACAGACAGATTTGTACATGAAGCAGATTTTTAAATGAACCCACACATTAATCAATGTTATTATAATGCTTTAACAACAACATTTTAATACGGTCTGTTAGAAATAAGAAATACACATTTGTTATCATATAGTCGATAACCTGCCATATTCATTCACCGTTGGCATGGAAACTGCCGTTGATTCACTCGGTCGCTCTGATGTCGACTGTCAATCCTGTTGCCATGCTAAAATGACGCGTTCTCCTTGGTTTCGATGAACTGCGCATGCGTACAACAGATGTACCATCATGGCGGCGTCGTTACAAAAATATGAGTTGCTTTCTCGCGTTTAAAAGACTTAAAACATATATATAAATACATGAAAATATGAGTAGTGACAAGGTAAGTGCTTTAGCTTTGAGTTTAGCGTATACAGGTTTATATAGGTCATGTTTTTGTTCTGTGAAATGTCGTGTAAGTGCTGGTAAATGTTTGTTATGAAGCAGAAATGTTAGTTTTCTGTGGAAATTAACGGATTGTTTTGGGGTTTTTCCATTGAAATAGCTTAATGTGTTCCAATGGATGTTAATAATGATATTCAGTGACATTAACATCTATTGTTTTTTTAGAAAATAACCAAGGAAGACACATGGAAACCAGCTGAACTGAGAAAACACATCAGGGTGAGCTTTTCTTTACTTTTTAATTACATGTTATTGTTAGCATGTTTGTTAAATGTCTTGCTGTTGAGCCACATGTGTCGTTAACATGTATGTTTAGTGTATGATGTTGTTGTCACACACCTAGCTTTTACCTGATGAATCAATGCTAGCTTTTACCTGATGAATCAATGCTAGCTTTTACCTGATGAATCAATGCTAGCTTTTACCTGATGAATCAATGCTAGCTTTTACCTGATGAATCAATGCTAGCTTTTACCTGTGGAGGGACAGGAGAAAAAGGCCATTCTGAAAACACCCTTTTCTACAATTTAATTTACATTGTGTCTAAGGACATCCAACACAACAGGTGCATATTTTGGCATTTAAAGCATATAATAATAATAATAATAATACATTTTACTTGGGGGGTGCCTTTCATAGCACCCAAGGACACCTCACAGGGCATAGGGGCAATTAAAACAGTGAATTTAGTGAAATATCAGCCGGGGTAAAACAACACGAACAACAGGAAATGGACTACAAAAGGACACAGGGTACAGTCTATAAAGAAAATGCCGGTTTGAACAGGTGGGTTTTGAGTTGGTTTTGATGTTGTTATGGACTCAGACTGATATGTAGTGGCAGGGAGTTCCAGAGTCTGGAAGCCGAGCAGCTGAAAGCTCGAGAACCCATGGTTTTGAGGCGAGAGCTTGGGATGATGAGAAGTCCTACGGAGGAAGAGCGGAGGGTGCGGGAGGGGGGGGGTGTACTCCTGAAGGAGCTCAGTGATGTAGATGGGGGCTAGGTTATGGAGAGCTTTATATGATGACATTTCATAGGCGGGACAGAGAATGTCCTCCTATCCTGGAATGACTTATAAACTGATCTATTTTCTGTTTTTCCAGGAGGGAGGACAGGTTGATAACAATGTCCGGAGGCGAGATGATAGTGAGAGAAGGCAACGTGGAGGAGAATCTGTAGAAAGAACTCGCAGAGACCCAGAGAAAGAAACGAGACGAGAGAAAGACAAGCTGAGGGAGAGGAGAGATAAAGAGGAAGTAGACAAATATGCAGATCGACGGAAAGAGGGATCACGGGATAGAAGAAGTGAAAGAGATAGAAGAGACAAGGTGGTAGATGGAAAGAGGAACGATGAAGACAAGGAGAGACACAGAGATAAGGAGGACAGGGACAAAAGGAGGGAAGAGAGAGACAAGGAAAAACGGAGAGAAGAACAAGAGGAGAGGAAGGAGAGACGGAGACATGAGGAAGGTGGAGAAGGAGAACGGAGAGAGAAGCAGGATCGAGAGAAAAGAGACCGCCATCGAGAGAGAGACAAAGACGAGAGGAACGACAGAGAGAGGAAGCATGTGGGAGTGAAGGAGGACGGAGGTAAGGTGGCGTCAATGTGAACACATAACGCTTTAATCACAGGACGACTGTTTACATTTCACTTTGTGATTTCAGAGAGCAGAGAGGAGCAGAGGAGACGTAGAGAGGAGAGAGAGAGGAGGCACACGGAGAGAGGGCACCATGTGAGTATCTCAGGGAAACTACATGAAGAAAACAAAATAATGAAGAGGCTCTATTCTGCTTTTCATGGTGTTCCCTCTGCTGTAAAGTAGGGTTAGTGCAAGTCAACGGTCTGCAAAGGCTAACATCTCTAAGATATCACAAATATCCTTGTTCTCGTATATAATGGTATATCTCCAGTGGGCGACACAGACACACAGCCATTGAGAGCAGATGATAAGGCAGAGGACAGTCAGTGGGTGGTGAGTCCGCTCGGCTCTAAGTTTATAATACAACAATAAAGGTTTATTCAATTTACAAATGAAACACATTCTGTTTTATTTAAAGTGATCCTCGTCAGCCATGGCTCTGCTTCACAGTTTGGTTGATTCAGGAAAGTGACTCAGCTCTTCCATTAGTGTGTACTTGATTTGTTGCTTTCCTTCTAGGACGAAAAGCGAAAGCACGACAGCAGATCCAGAGAGCATCGAGACGTGAAGGAAGAGGTCAGAGGTCATGGAGGTGACAGAGAGCGAACAGAACGGGATAACAACAAAGAGAGGAAGCACAGAGAGGACGAAGAACCGGAGAGACATCATCGCAGAGACCCGACCAGCTCCAGGAAATCTGACAAAGCCTCGGACAAAAGTCATGACGCTAGAACTGAGGTGTGTAAACCTGTATAATATATATAACCATTTCATTTCATCTCGATGTTTCCCTGACAGATGAAATGTGTGTTTTCCCTCCATGTGTCAGGGTAAGGCAGCGGAGCGGGGCCTGAGAGCCACAGCAGAGCCTGTAAGAAGTTCCACCTTTCTCAAAGAATATGTGCACTAACGCTTGAACCTGAACTCACACATGCACGTGTGCAATATGTGGTGTAATGTGTTTGGGGCCATAACATTAAATTACAACAGGATTGTACGGTTATGAATGCATTATAAGTTAGTTATGATGTAGTTAAAACAATATTGGATGATAGTCATTTTGTGTGTGTTTTGGACTGAGATAAATCGTGGGTCAAAATGTACCCGCGAGCACCATGAGCGGTAACAGCTTTTGAACACAACACAAGGGTTACAAGCAAGGAGATTGGAAGAAATGTAGATGAGGAAGAGGAGGAGACCAAAGGAAGAGAAAGTCCATAAAGATTGAGGATGAAAGAGTTGTTGAGGAGTGCGGATGTGTATATACAAAATAAATTAAAATAGATTAAATTGTTCTTAATCTCAGCTGCTTGAGATGACTGTTAATGATGTTATCTGATTAAATGTAAATAAAAAACATATTTGTTCTTTATATCAATTTGAGGCAGGATGGATTGAAAAAAACAGTGACAGTGATCGCCTAAAACATTTGCTGTCGTTTTTAAATCTTTTATTTTGCAGTGTAACAGTTTGTGTTTTCAAAGCGAACGAATTGCGTACTCAACTCTCAAAAATGGCAGATATTCTCTCATAAAACAAGTACAAATACGTTCTCAAACACTCTCAA